CTGACAGATCAGATGAAGGAGGAGGTTGTGTCTGGACCCCGAGAGGCAGAGATGGAGGGAACCATGGCCCAGCAGGAACATGAGTGGTTGGACCTGACGAATGAACCTGGAAAAAGCCAGATTTGGAGAGATAGAGTCTTGTTTGGCTTGGAGATGGGGGGCTGGATAGACCCCCCCATGCAGGGATGTTTTGACTTTTCAAGTCTGGCAATGGGCCGGGAGGAGTTTGGAGTTGTGGGGGTCCTCAATTTTGGAGGGACCTTGAAACATGTTTTTAAATACCACATGGAGTTCAGTGTGGACTATGGAAAAGGGGCTGATCTGTCGAGAAGGGACAAAAATACTGTCAAGCTGGAGTCTCCACGAGTGAAAGGAGCAGAAGACAAAGTAAAGTACAGGTATAAATATGAAGAAGATCTGCGGAAGGGACATGGAAGAGACTTAAGGGCCTTGGACATAAGGTTACCAGGTTAATGAACTAGATGAATGGGATAGAAAAGACTGACAAAACCCGTGACCAGGAGGAAGAGACGTTGGATGAAGATTGGAGAAAGTTTCAAAAATTCTATTTAGGAATGTCTTCTAAAATTAATGAGTATTAAAAAAATGTTGGAACGAAATTATTTGGCTTTAGCAGAAATGTTAAAAAGAACTATGCAAGAATATGTCATGGTTATGAGAAATAGGTATAGATAAGTTTTAAGTTTTAGGGTTTTTTATAGTAAGATAAGGTTAAAATAGATTAAGGTAATTTAATGACAGAATATAATGAAAAATGGGAAGGATTTGCTGTGATAATCAATAACTAGAATACAAAAAAGGGAGGAGTGAGGAGGTCGATGAAATAAGGTAATGACAGTTAAGGATTTGGGAATATTGGATCTGTTTTTAAACATTTTGTGGTTTATTTTGGTTTTTTGATTTTGATGTGTTGTGTTTTGTTTTTTGCTTTTTGATTTTGATCTTTATCGACTTGTATTGTTTGATTGTGGTTTGTTTTTTCCTTGCTTTTTTCCTTTTTTTCTCTTTGACTTTTCTGTAATCTTAAAATTCTTAATAAATATCATTTTTTTTAAATAAAAAAAAGAGTCTCATGCTCTACCAAGTGGGTTATAACTCAAAAACCAGAAGGCATTGGGAATTTTTATTTACACCAGTGACATGTGAGATAATCCAGTACAGCAATTTAAAGCAAAATCTGACATGTTGCATCTATTTAAAAAAATAAATAAATTGTGATCTTCGTGGAACTAACGTCCTGAAGGAGGTAACATTGGTTCCCTAGACCTCATGAATGCATAACAGTTCAAGCTTCAGGGTCCCCAAAATACAGGTCTGCACATGACCGGACAACCTGGCATTTAACACTGTTTTAAAATCTTGTTTTCTTACTGCCAGGATTAGGAAGGGCTGCTACTGCTGAACCAGTTTTGGATCTGGTGTAACTTTATAGCTGCTTAATTTGCAACAGCTTGCTTTACACTAGCTTCTTGCACATAGAATTGCTCCATAATACCTTTGGTCCCAAGGACGCGGGTGGTGCTGTGGGTTAAACCACAGAGCCTAGGACTTGCCGATCAGAAGGTCGGCGGTTCGAATCCCCATGATGGGGTGAGCTCCTGTTGCTCAGTCCCTGCTCCTGCCAACCTAGCAGTTCGAAAGCATGTCAAAGTAGATAAATAGGTACCTCTCTGGCGGGAAGGTAAACAGTGTTTCCATGTGCTGCTCTGGTTCGCCAGAAGTGGCTTAGTCATGCTGGCCACATGACCCGGAAGCTGTATGCCGGCTCCCTCAGCCAATAAAGCGAGATGAGCGCAGCAACCCCAGAGTCGGCCACGACTGGACCTAATGGTCAGGGGTCCCTTTCCCTTTCCCTTTGGTACCCCCCCCAGATGCACTTAGGTGGAATTTAGACACACACACACACACACAAACACAAACACACAAACCCTGTGAAACTGCATTCTTTAAAAAAAGACGTTTTGAAAAATATATTGAATTTGCCTTAGCTCACCATCGCCATCTAGTGTCCCTTTTGTATAATGCACTTTACAACACACTTAAAACCTTTTATCCGCAGCTGTATAGCTGAGTCCTAAGACAGTGAGACATGTTGTTTTTCCTGGATTTCTCCCCCAAGCATGCCATATCACTTTTGGAGAAAGCAGGGATATTGGTAAGATCAAGGGCCCCCATTCCTCGCATCAGCATCTTCACCTCTGTGTAGTGCATCCCTGTTGCAGCTTGCTTGTTCACTGGAGCTTATTTAAACCGCATGGTGGATTTGCTAGAGGACAAGCAACAATCGTTGCTGGAGGGGTTTCCTTTGTCACAGATACCTAATGAGATCAGTTGCTTCAAATGTGAAGCTACTGTATACCTGGAGCATAGGTAACTGCCATGAAGTAGCGTGGGGAAGAATGACTTCTTGAATGTCACCAAGGGAGGAGACAAAGGGTCACCTCATTGCCAACTGTTTCTGCTTTTGAGACAGTTCACTGAAGCTGCCATTGCTGGAAGGGACAGAAAGTTCATAAGGAGGACAGATAACTTGAACATGCAACCTAGCTCAGTGGGACTGAAACGGTTGCATGTGGAATTTAATCTGTGAGGATTCCAAAGATGAATGAAACTGTTCTGCACCTCTAAAATAAGCAAATGGATTGCAACTTAGTTATTCGGCAGCTTTTGTGCTTCCAAAACATTTAACGCATCTTGTTTATTTATTTATAAAAGCATCTCTATACCGCCACAATGCTAAAATGTAGTATCAGTGAAAATACAGATACATTAAGGTGACTGGCTATCAAAAATTTTAAAAGCTACAAAGGCCTGTCGGCATAATATAGGTATTCAGTTTTCAGTTGAAAACAATGCATAAAGCTGGACCGTAAAGAAGGCTGATCGCCGAAGAATTGATGCTTTTGAATTATGGTGCTGGAGGAGACTCTTGAGAGTCCCATGGACTGCAAGAAGATCAAATCTCTCCATTCTGAAGGAAATCAGCCCTGAGTGCTCACTGGAAGGACAGATCCTGAAGCTGAGGCTCCAATATTTTGGCCACCTCATGAGAAGAGAAGACTCCCTGGAAAAGACCCTGATGTTGGGAAAGATGGAGGGCACAAGGAGAAGGGGACGACAGAGGACGAGATGGTTGGACAGTGTTCTCGAAGCTACAAACATGAGTCTGACCAAACTGCGGGAGACAGTGGAAGACAGGAGCGCCTGGCGTGCTCTGGTCTATGGGGTCATGAAGAGTCGGACACGACTAAATGGCTAAATGACTAAACAACAACATATACATATACATATACATATACATATACATATACATATACATATACATATACTGAACCATTGGTCCATCTCACTCAGTAGTGTTGACACTGCCAGGTAGACTCTCTTTGGGGTTTCAGGCAGGATTCACTCCTAGGGACCTGAAGATGCCAGAGATCAAATCTGGAACCTTTTGCATGCAGAGCAGAACATGCTTTGCCACCAAACTATAACCCTTCTCCATGCTAACAGGAAATAACATAGAAACAGATGTGAAAGTGACATGGACTGGGAACAGATGGCACGAGATATACCAGGCTGAGCTGAGTATGGGGAGTTACACTAGGGAAGCCTGGCTGCACGATGAACCTCCCAGCACAGCCGGGAATTTGTTGCATCCTAACCTTCCCATGGGCATGCGGGTGGCACTGTGGGTTAAACCACAGAGCCTAGGACCTGCCGATCAAAAGGTCGGCAGTTCGAATCCCCGCGGCGGGGTGAGCTTCCATCGTTCGGTCCCAGCTTCTGCCTACCTAGCAGTTCGAAAGCACCCCTAAGTGCAAGTAGATAAATAGGGACCGCTTTCTAGCGGGAAGGTAAACGGCGTTTCCGTGTGCGGCGCTGGTGCTGGCTCGCCAGATGCAGCTTAGTCACGCTGGCCACGTGACCTGGAAGTGTCTTCGGACAGCGCCGGCTCCCGGCCTCTTGAGCGAGATGAGCACGCAACCCTAGAGTCGGTCATGACTGGCCCTGATGGGCAGGGGGTATCTACCTACCTAACCTTCCCATCCTGGTGGATCTTGCTATAGGCTTAGGCTGGTTCACATGGAAATCTGCTGCACTCCACAGCCCTCCTCCACCCAGAGCTGCAATGTTCTGTGGTTTGCAACCTAGTGACAGCATAGGCTTAGATTTGAGCCAGTTTTTGAATGCTGAGACACCAAATCTTTGAAGTGCCCTAACAAATGAAGCTTGCAATTATTCTGAATGGTCCTGATAATCATCATCTCTCTCTCTCTCTCTCTCTCTCTCTCTCTCTCTCTCTCACACACACACACACACACACACACACACACACACTTTATAAGCTTGGTGCCAGCACAAATACTTGCCTGGTTTACTCCTTGCCCATCCACAATGCCGGCATTGTAAAGTCATTTGGGTAGGTTATTAACTGTGCTGCCCCATGGCATGGCCTCCAAATTACTGTATGCAATTGCAAAAGGAGACACTTTTATTTCTGCAACATAAATAGGCGAACAGGCCTAATAAAAACAGATGAATTGCAGGGCAGAGCAAATTGGACTGCTGTAGTGGATTTCTGCACTGAGCACCATGAAATAGCGGCACATGTGATTAGGTTTACTACTTTGGAGATAGTTGCTTTTAATCGGGTCATTCGTACCAAACTACCAATTCTTAAGCAGCGCTTTTCATCTACATTTTTCTCCTTGAATGTGGCAAATAGTTTTGCTGACACCTGGGTGTTCTCTCCCCGCCCCCCAACCAGGGCATTTGAGCTCTTAATTTAGGGCTGCACTAAATGTTCATCAATTGAATTTTTTCAGGGGGAGGGGATGCAAATAGAACCACCCAAATAGAATCCAACCACCCCTCAAGTCCACATGCTTGCATGAGATGCCCCAGAATCACATAATTGTAGATTTGGAAGGAACCACAAGAATTATCTAGTCCACCCCCCCTGTAGTGCAGGAACCTCTTTGTGCAACGTGGGACTCCAACCCACAACCCTGAGATTAAAAGTCTCATGCTGTACCTACTGAGCCATCCCTCTGTTCTGCTCCTTTGGTGCTTAGAATCATAGAATTATAGAGCTGCAAGGGACCCTGAGGGTCATCTAGTTCAACCTCCTGCAATTCAGGAATCACAGCTGAAGTATCCCTGACAGATTTATTGTCATTGTCCCATACAGAACAACAAAATTGAAAAAATCTACATCAGACACTCAGAAACCAACACGCCTGCTATCCCAGCTATCCCAGCCTGGTTAGCCCCCTAAAAACTCTGATACCCCATTATTAAATACAATACACTCCCATACTTTACACTGCGTTTAAAACCAAAATTGTTTTCTGTTTCTCAGGCGGCTAGTCCTGGTCTTTATAACCCTGTACCTTCTTTCAGAAGGCAGAAGCTGAAAGAGATCATTTCCAGGGTGCGCACTATCCTGCACTACTCTGCAGCTTTCTTATGGCACCTGGAAGCGTAGATTTGATCCAAGGTGGGAAGAGTGCACCCAATTATTCTCTCTGCAGTCTTTACAACCCTGGACAGCATTGTTTATTCCCTGACTGTGCACCTCCCAAACCACATGCACAGACCATAAGTTAATACACTCTCAACAGTACAATGGTGAAATGCCATCAACAGGTCCTTTGAGAGATTATTTTTCTGCAGGATTCTCAGAAAATATAACCTCTGCTGTGCTCTCCACATCAGGTCTTTACTGTTTTCTCCCCGGGTTAGGTCATCTCTCAACCTCATTCCCAGAAATTGAAACACCCAGACGTACCTGTTCTACACACAGATGACCTTCCAGCCTCTTTAAAAACCTCCAAGGAAGGAGAGTCCACCACCTTCTGAAGTAGTGCATTCCACTGTCAAACAGGCCCATGCCCAACACTTTATAACTGCACACAGGAGAAATCCTATGCACAGGAATCTGGCTTCAAGCATACTGGGGTAACTCAACGTTGAATGTAATGTTTTACCAGAACCAAATCCTGTTCAGCTTCAGGGCTGCTGCTGCTGCTGCTCTGTTAAAGTCTGGAAGAGGGGAAACAAACTTTTACAAGAGTGTTCTGTGCTGGGTTGCCTGGTCACACAACTGAACCTCAAAAACTTGGGATCCAGCCTAAGTCTCCCTCTCTCTGGTCCCACCTCTTCCATGCCCCATGAACACTACTTCCTGATAACTTACACAAGCCTTGACTCAACCAGCTTCTCGCCAGCTGGCTGAGCACCAGCCGGAATGAGCAATTTACACTAGCGTATTTTCAACTTTGCAGGATTTGGGGGCCAGGAATCAGCCCCCTCAACCAGAGATCTGCTGCATCCAAAGATGTTCATTTTGGCTGATCTGGCCATAAGATTGCCTCCATTGAAGGTGACCCAGAAACTACAACTAATCCAGAATGCGGCAGCTAGATTGGTGCGGCCGCCGAGACCACATAACACCGGTCTTGTAAGACCAACATTGGCTCCCAGTACATTTCCGAGCACAATTCAAAGTGTTGGTGTTGACCTTGAAAGCCCTAAACGGCCTCGGCCCAGTATACCTGAAGGAGCGTCTCCACCCCCATCGTTCTGCCCGGACGCTGAGGTCCAGCACCGAGGGCCTTCTGGCGGTTCCCTCATTGCGAGAAGCAACACTACAGGAAACCAGGCAGAGGGCCTTCTCGATAGTGGCGCCTGCCCTGTGGAACGCCCTCTTTGATCAGATGTCAAAGAGATAAACAACTAACAGACATACAGAATACATCTTAAGGCAGCCCTGTTCAGGGAAGTTTTTAATGTGTGACATTTTAGTGCATTTTTGGTCTCTGTGGAAGCTGCCCAGAGTGGCTGGGGAGACCCAGCCAGATGGGTGGGGTACAAATAATAAATTATTATTATTATTATCCATGTTCCTTGAACACATGAATATGGATTTTTGATTCACAATTGATACTGCTTTCAGCATTTCAGAAAGAACTTCGGTTTACAAAACAAATTAATGAAAAGGTGAAAGCGGGGCAGAAACTTCTTCTTGTATAGCTCCGATTTCCAGGAAAACCATTTGACTTTGAAAATGGCTTGTTCCAAAAGACTGAAGTGAACTTCTGTGCTACAAAAAGCCAAATCTCTCTCTCACTCACTCACTCACTATTTTTTTTTATTTTAAAAAAGGCTTTTAAGAACATGCTGTGTGCTTTTTATGGTTACCGCTCTTAGCAATTCTAGAAATATTTCTATAGCTTAGGTGATGGGAAAAATAGTCTTTCCAGTGGATTTCACCTTCAGGAGCAAGAGACAATGGAAAGTCAGAGCAGAGGATTCTGGGTAGAGCAGCAAGTTGCTGACAAAGGCCAAGGTTTAAATAAAACATGTTCCGCAGAGTTAAATCAATACTTTATTTGTTAAGGAGAAGTAAAAGTACAAAAAAGCTTGTACGACTAGGCATAAAAAAGTGAGAAATCAATTCTAGTTAATTCAGAATGCTTGAGGAGTCACCTATGCTGTTATGTATGAATAATTCACGAACAGATATTTATTGCCGACATACGTTGTTTGCTTGGGATGGCGCTATGCCCCTCGTTTGACCTGAATCCTGTAAAGAATGATATTCAACTAATTGAAATAACATTTTGCAAGTCAGACAATGCCTTGGGGATATTTCCAGACTAATCTCGGAATGGAATGGGGGAAGAGATGAAATGTCTGATAAGTTTTATATAAATAGTGCTATTTTACAGTGTGTTAACAATGGGATGGAAGGGGGATTTTCCAGGCGAGCAGTGTTGCCTCTTGGGAACAAATCTCGCTTTGTTTTGCTGCCTGTAATAATGAGCGTCAATTAGGCAGAGCAAACGTTTGCAGGAACTCACAGCTCCCTTTCACCACCGCCCTTTGCGTCTTTTGAGTTCGTTTCCCTTCCTTTAACACAAAGATATTTTGCAAGAACTTATTGCACCTGCCTCTGCTCCTAACCTCTGTACTTTGGCTCCTTGCTTTCATATTGACTCCCTAGCTGAATTCTCTGGTTTAAAGGTAAAAGTAAAGGAACCCCTGACAGTTAGGTCCAGTCGCGGATGACTCTGGGGTTGCTGCGCTCATCCCGCTTTATTGGCTGAGGGAGCCGGCGTACAGCTTCCGGGTCATGTGGCCAGCGTGACTAAGCCGCTTCTGGCGAACCAGAGCAGCACACGGAAGCACCATTTACCTTCCTGCCAGAGTGGTACCTATTTATGTACTTGCACTTTGATGTGCTTTCGAACTGCTAGGTGGGCAGGAGCTGGGACCGAACAATGGGAGCTCACCCCGTCGCAGGGATTCGAACCGCCAGCCTTCTGATCGGCAAGCCCTAGGCTCTGTGGTTTAGACCACAACTCTGTTTTAGGGTTGCCCAATTCCCCCGGGGAAGCTGGGAGTGCGGAGAGGAGAGCAAGAAAGAAGCACACTCTGGATGAACCTCTGACTTCTGGAGAAATTGCTAAACTTTGCGTGCAACGCCTAGAATTTCTAGAGGTGTGTTTCTCAAACTTGAACTACAACTCCCATAATCCTAGCTAGCAGGACTAGTGGCCAGGGGTGATGGGATTTGTAGTCCAAAACCAGCTGGAAAACCAAGTCTGGGAACCCTGTGTAAACCTGCACTTTTTGGGGGAGGAGGAATAAGAATATAAGAGCCTTGCTGAATCTTGCTTCCCACAGTGGCTGGCCAGATGCTTCTCAGAAGCACACAGAAGGGCCTGTAGTCCTATTCAACAACTGGTATTCCATGACATAGAACTGAATTGTAGACATGAAAGGGACCCTGAGGGTCGTCTAGTCCAACCCCCTGCAATGCAGGAATCTCAACACGCAGTCTCCCATCCAATTGGAAACCATACTGGACCCTGCTTAGCTTTGCAAATGTACTAGAAGTTCTATTCCTCCAAACATGGCAACTGCACACAATCACATAGTTATAACTGCAACCAGGGGCACCATCTTGCCCTCAGGATTGTTGGTGCCCACCACAATGTCACACGAACTTGCCTGCACGTAGTGTGTGATGTCACAAGCAGCCAGTGGGGCACCCTTTTCTGTGCTGAGGGACTTGGACTTGAACTCAGAGAGCCAGTGTGGTGTAGTGGTTAAAAGCGGTAGACTCGTAATCTGGTGAACCAGGTTCGCTTCCCCGCTCCTCCACATGCAGCTGCTGGGTGACCTTGGGCTAGCCACACTTCTTTGAAGTCTCTCAGCCCCACCCACCTCAGAGAGTGTTTGTTGTGGGGGAGGAAGGGAAAGGAGAATGTTAGCCGCTTTGAGACTCCTTCGGGTAGTGATAAAGCCGGATATCATATCCAAATTCCTCCTCCTCCTCCTCCTCCTCCTCCTCCTCCTCCTCCTCCTCCTCCTCTTCTTCTTCTTCTTCTTCTTCTTCTCAGAGGCAGAGAGGATCTGCCTCTGTGCCCCAGCCCCAGCCCTTGGAACAGGATGCCTCGCTGGCTGGCTGTGGAGGATGGAGCTGAACTGCTTTTCTCCCTGTCATATTTTTTCATTGACTTTGTGGGTTCCCAGCCCCCGAAAATTATATTATTGTGGGTGCCCAAGCACCTACAGCCCCCTGGAGTTGGCTCCTATGGCTACAACTCATATTAAAGTAGCCAGACCTGAAGGTCTGACCTGAAGTTCCCAGACTTGCCTGGCTCCCTGCAAGGGGTATGTGGAATGCTTGAGTATGGCGCTTGCAAGCTTCAGCCCAGCAGGAGCTGGTTGAAACTTACAGCATACAAACTCTGGGGAAAATGTCTCCCCTCCTCCGCTCCCCTCTCTCAGTTAACCTCCAATTCCAGAACTCAGCCCCATAACATCACCAGAGGCTGTCGCTAGATCTCAGGTTTGGGCCCTGAAATCTCAGTTGGGGAAGAGAAAGTCGCAGCATGTATGCAATGCCCTGTGCCCACAAGAGTTTATCTGATTAGCAAATGTGCCTAGAGGCCATGAAAGATTGGCAACACCTGATCAGTTCAACCCATTAGCCCCATCCAGGCACTAGGGTTTTTTTTCAATATGAAAAATTGGC